CCCGAAGGCGAGACCCTGGGGTCGGTTCCCCCTAGATGAGACGACCCTGGGTCGGATCCCCCTAGATTAGACGACCCTGGGGTCGGATCCCCCTAGATTAGACGACCCTGGGGTCGGATCCCCGCCTAGAGAAGCGCTTCTAGGGCGACAGCATCCCACAGGAGATGTCGGCGGTGTGGCATGTGGATCGACCCGGGGTGCGGCTGGTGTGGGGCGTGGAGAGGCCGCAGACAGCCCTGGTGAATGCGGCAGTGTCCCCGTAGGGCTGCGCTGGCCCGAGGTGACAGCCTGGCCCACAGTCCGTGGGCGCCGCGCACCGCTGCACCCCCCGGCGCTCCAGGCTGCCCAGCACAGCTGTGCCCACACTTCCTGTCACCTGGAACTCACAGGTGCTGGCCACTGGCGAGGCCTCCAGCGACAGCTGCTGGCGCCCCAGTGGCTGGAGGGGCTGCTGTACGGCTGCACCCGAGCAGCAGGTGGGCCCTGGCAAGGCTTTCCGAGCACCCAGCCCTGGGGCCCGGCGGGGGGTCACCCAGGGCACTCTTCTATTTCACAGCCTGGATCTGGAGGTCTTGAGAGACAGACTTCCCAATCCTGGAACTATGAGCCCTACACACAGCTCTGTCCTGAGCCACTGGGCGTGGGAGAGAGCCAGACTCCAGACCCGGTGCTGGGCTGGCCGTGGCACCACGAGGGACCCCGTGTGACCCTGCAGTGCATTCACCGTGTGACCAGCCGTCTCTATTTCTGGGCAGACAGAAGTGCCTGAAACATGTTCACACGCGTCACCTGAGCTGTGCCTACGCAAAGGAGCCATCCCGCCCAAGGCTGTGGGAGCCCACGGAGTTTGGCCACTGGTGGGCACTGTGCGGCATTTCCCGGGCTCAGACTCACATGCGGCCACTCACCTGAGATACTGCTGCCGGGCGTGCGCGTCCTTCCCGCAGACGGCGTGGATGCTGGTCAGCTCCAGCGTGACGAGCAACAGCAGCAGACGCAGCATGGGCCACAGGAGCCGGAGGCTGCACACAACGGTCACGTGACCCGACGGCCACGGGAGCCCAGGCCCACCCTCAGTCCAAACTCGGGGCTTCCCAGCCACCAGGCACCTGGCCTGCACAGCGGGTGTGCACCCGCCCCCACACTCGCTGCACTTCCCTCCCACCAGCTGGGTGGCGCCCTGGCCCCTGCCTGAGGGCAGCCCTCATGCCCTGTCTCTGCCTGGTGGCCCCCACAGGGCAGGGGTCAGAGAACACCCGCATGGCCAGGCCGGCAGCCGCCGCCCGGCGCTCGCGGCGCAGGCCCTTCCGGTAGAGGGAAGCAGACAACACGGATGTGAGTGTGCCCGCTGTCACCGAGCCGAGCCCAGGTACAGGCAGGGCCTCCTCTGACAGATGTCCCTACACCAGGATGGGTGGGATGCCACAGTGAGCTGGACTCGGACCACCTTCCAGAAGGAGGCCCCGCAACACCTGTAAAAGCAGAAACGTGGGCCAGCAGGTGGCGCGGTGGTTATGTTACTGGGCTCCCACGTGGCCGACCGTGTGGGGGTTTGAGTCCCGGCTCGAAACTCATGCTAGGCACATGTGCATGCACGCCTAAAACCCTGCGAGGAGAATGGAAAAGGGACTATGGTGTGGCCATCTCCCCAGGAGGTGATGTCTCATGCCCTGTCTCTTCAACAAGTGCACGTGCACTATAGCAAAAATCTCTTAAAAAAAAAAAAAAAACACTCTAGAAATGTTGACATCACTTGACCTGAAATTCCAGGTGTTTGACCTAGAGTGTCTACCATGGCCCCTGGGCCAGCCCGAGGACTAGCAGCTAAAAGAGTCCTACATGGCCAGCCCCAAGGTTTGAGTCCCAAACCTGGCAGCTTGAAAAACTGCCTTGAAAAAACCCGGGTCTGCGGTCGCGCCTGCCCAAGACCCTGAAAGGAGGGAGGATGAGGCTGGTGACGTGGCCACGCCCATAACGTCCTCCTCCTCCTGTCCGTTCTGCTCCGGCCAACAACAGGCCCCAGAAAAGTGAAGAACGTGCACACTGCAGGGGGAACGGCCCAGCCTGCTCAGCTACTACACGTTAAACCCAGGTGCTGGCCGGGCAGCTAGAGCGCGCGCCCTAATCACACACGTGTCTAAGTGAGTGTGCAGGACGGCGTTCTCCTGAGCGTCCAGGACGGGCCCTGGCCGACCGCCCCTTCTGCAGTAGCACACCTGCCAAGCATGCGCAGGTAGGTCTGCCGCTGGCGCG